TGATGCTTTCTGGGATATCAGGAAGGAACTCTGTTGGGCTCCTAAAATCATGGCACTTACTCACTCAGATATTGATCGGTATCATCGATATTACCAAGATATAGAGATTGTTGATAGTTGTAGTAGTTTCCCCATTGTACCTTTTCTTGGTACAAAGGGAGGAATTAACTATAACCTTGTTCTTGTATGACGACAGCTCGATTATCCGATGAGGGATAAACCCAATAGTCTTTATTTGAGTAGTTTCTTTCTGAAGGATGAAGGAGACCATAAGGAAGCTAAGGAGCAGATTGCAAAGGCCTGTCGTCACATTCATAAGAAAAGTAGGAAAGACTTGGGACCTAGGGGGGTTGTTTCTTTGGAGCCATATCTTCAGTGGGTTCAAGCGAGAGCTATTCAGTTGAAGATGTCGTATTCCCAAGAAACACATATGCCTAATTTGTGTGTAAATACCACTCCTCCCTTATTAGATGATATAGAAGAGCTACAACTTGCTTTGGTCAGGGTGCAGCAGGAAAAGGATTCTTGGAAGAATAAGTGCCAAACTTTAGAGATTTCCTATATAGCAGACTTAAAGGAGAAAGACGACTTGATTGATATTCTTGAGAGTCGGGCTGTAGAGATGATGGAGAGGCAAGGGGATTTATTTTCTCCTAAGCCTCAGTCAGATGCTGATTACTCACTTCCTAATTCAGGAGATTGGAAGGAGGTTGCCACCAGGTATGCGGAAGAAAACCAAAGGTTGAAGGCTCAGATTGCCAGGCTTATAGGGAAGCGCCAGCGTATAGAGTGATCTCCGACAGCTTTACTTCTCAGGGTTTTAGACTTTATTTTCATCTTATACTTGGGATTGTTGAGACTTGTAACCTATTTTTAAGTTATTATAATAAAAAATTTCAGTATTTCAAATGCGTTATCACTTTGATATTTGCAACGTGTCTATAAATCTTAAAGTCCCTTGAAATATAATAAAAACAAATCACGTGCGTTGCATATCATGCATCATATTGCACATATTTCTTGCATTTGTTATGAATATCCAGGTGTCTTACCAAGCTTCTTTACTTTGTTCAGCAAGCTGACTCACCACTACAACACTCGAGCTAATTTCAGAAGGAAGATGGACAACTTAGAACAAGAGAATTGCAAGTTGCGCGAGGAAGTTTCTGCTTTGAAGGCCGGCATGGCCAATCTTACTACTTTGACGGAGTCTTTAAGGGCTACTCAGAATCAGCCACTGAGTGTTCAACCTCAACCAACAAGGGCTATTATTGAAGCTCCGACTGTTCCTGTATCTGCTACCTCAGCTGTTATTCAGAATCACATGCCTTAAGGTTATCCCTGGGGAATGCTAGAGAATTTTGCACCCGAAGGTTTCAATCTTGGTCCTCAAGAAGCTCCAGTTGTTCAGACTATTGTTACTCCTGCATCTTCTGTGGTGCATACTGCTCATGTTGCACCTCTTTCAATGAATTTGGTTCCATTTGTTAATGATGATGTGTGTCGTCCTTTTCCTCCACCAAGTGAAGACTTGGGTCTTTATGACAGAATGTATGGTTTTCAAGAACAGTTTGACAAGATGCAGAAGGAGATGAAGGCCCTCAGGGGAAAAGAGTTATTCGGGCAGAATGTGAATGGATTATGCTTGGTCCCGAATGTTAAGATACCTGCAAAGTTTAAGGTCCTGGAGTTTGAAAAGTACAAGGGCAAAACTTTCCCTCGTGCTCATCTGGTAATGTATATAAGGAGAATGTCTACCCATACTGATGATCAACGTCTTCTAATTCACTTTTTTCAGGATAGTTTGACCGATGCTGCGCTGAAGTGGTATATGAGCTTGGACAGCGTCGACATCCATACTTTCAATGAATTGGGAGAAGCATTTATCAGACAATACAAATACAACATGGACATGGCGCCTAACGTGACCAACTCAGGGCCATGGTTCAGAAAGACAGGGAATCATTCAAAGAATATGCACAGAGATGGCGTGAGGTAGCCGCCCAAGTGATTCCTCCCATGGAAGATAAGGAGATGACTAAGATTTTCTTGAAGAATCTGGGTGCTTTCTACTATGAGAGGATGGTAGAAAGTGCGCCAAGTGACTTTACTGAAATGGTAGGCATGGGTATCCGTTTAGAAGAGGTTGTAAGAGAGGGACGTTTAACGAAGGGTGAAGGATCTAGAGGTGAAAAGAATCCATCTTATGGGTTTACCAAGAAGAAGGAAGGGGACACAAATGCTGTTATGCAAGAGAGGAGGGTTAATCCTCCTAGAAGAATTTATCAGTGTCATCAGCAAGTCGCCTCGATTACTCCAGTTGTTGGTGTAGCTCCAACCACCGTTGCTTATCAGAGACCATCCCATCAGGGGAATCAAGAGTATAATCAGAGAAGGGAGACTTATGACCTTATTCCTATGAGTTATACATTGTTAATACCGACATTGATTTAGAAGAAGTTGGTGCAGACCCGACCACCTCCCGTTGTACCATCACCACTGCCTTGGTATTACAAAGCAGACCAAACATGTGCTTTTCATCAGGGAGCACCAGGGCATAATGTTGAGAATTACTATCCTTTGAAGACTGAGGTGCAGAAATTGGTGAAGTCTGGTATTTTGTCTTTCAAGAATGTGGGCCCTAATGTGAAAGACAATCCTCTACCCAAGAATGGAGGAGTGAATGTTGTAAACATGGTGGCCGGTTGTCCAGGCGACTTCCGAATTTTTGATATTAATCTGGTTAGAAGAGATTTGGTAAAAATGCATGCAGACCTATGTGAATTTAGCTACTATACGCATGACTATTCCGGTTGTGCTATTTGCAGTACAGACATACATGGTTGCGATAAGATAAAGGCTGATTTGCAAGAGATGATGGATGAGGGCCTCATCTACATAATCAGGCCCAGGGAAGAGTATTAAGAGGAGGTGAACATGGTTTCTGGATGTCCTTGAGAGTTCAGAATTTTTGATCTGGAGCACATGAATGAGGATCTTGTACAATTGCATGTTACTTTCTGCCACATGGCTGGTCAGGTGGAACATCAGTATGGATCTTGCCAAATTTGTTGCCTGGACTCCCGAGGATGTTCAATCGTGAGGAAAGGTGTTCAGTTGTTGTTGGATAATGGAACTATCAAGGTTATAGGTCAAAGGGATGATTACCATGAAGTTGATATGATCGATTCTTGTTTGGATGAAGAAAGATCGGATGATGAGTATGCCTCTGCAGATGAGTTCTTCTCCTCGGAAGAAGATTTGTTTTCTAGAGATGACTCCATAATGACTAATTGTGTTGAAGAAGGGGTAAATGTCATTGTGCCTTGTTTTGGTGCACCTGCCCATTTGAATTCGAGTATTGTAGCAAGCCCATTATTACTCCATTGGTGATTATTTTGTTGGGTCCTGTCCCCTACAAGTCAGATAAGGTTGTACCCTACAAATATAACGCTACAATCTTAGAGGATGGTGTGGAAGTTCCTATCCAGCCAATGCTTGATGTTGGAAATATTGTTGAGACTAGCAGAATGACTCGCAGGTCGTGTATTTACACCAGTTGTTCGTGGAGATGTTAGCATTGGAAAGAAAATTGTTAAGAATGTTGAACCCAAGAAGATTACGGGTGAATCTAGTGGAGCTACGTTAGAGAAAGAAGTGGATGATATTTTGAATATAATCAAGATGAGCGACTACAGAATTGTAGATCAGCTACTGCAGACTCCTTCAAAAATATCTATCTTGGCTTTATTAATGAACTTCTCTGCTCACAGAGAATCTTTGATGAGGGTATTGGATAAAGCTTTTGTGGAAAGTTACATGCCTTGTCATACCCCAATTTTTGACCTAAGATCTCTGCTTCATTTGCATTATTTTATATATACATCAAGGTCACGGAATATGGTAAGGTTTCGAACGTTTCGCCTTCAAGCTTTGACTGTGTAGAGATTATCGAGTGTTGTGGGTATTTAATCTTATGAATGACTAACCACTAATCAAGCACGAAGTGTATGTTTTGTTGTTTTTGATTTCATGTGCAGGAAATAAATCTGAAAGAAGAGCATCAGACGTCACACATCAATTAGGGTTTCGAGTCTCGGGGCAGAAATGCGGTCGGTTGTTAATTCCCAAAAACTAATTCTTCAAAAGAATTTCAGAGAATCGTGTGTTTATTTCCACACTCTGTCCAATAGATGGTCTCCAGCTTCTCTGAATATTTTTCAGAAAGAACGGTCGAAGTTTTACTATCTTTGGTTCATGTGTGTTTCACATTATTCTAAAATACAAGAAAACCAAGCTATGCCCGTCATTTTCGATCACTTCGACCAAAAGTCATCTGTAAATTTTCTCATAACGCGGGATGAATTTTGTCAAAATGGGATAATTAAATTCAAAACCGTTCTAGAGGAATTTATTCGGAATATTTGGAATTTTCTTTATTTGAATTCAAGTGATAATTAAAGAGGAGCTACCAAGAGATCTCACTCAAGAATAATCATTTATCGCATGAAATATTTATTCAAGATTATTTTTGTGATTATTTTGGTGGAATTACGTTATGGTTATTTGAACACACATGAATCATTTATTCAAGAAGATATTGGGAAAAGGAATTCGATCCAATTAATCGTTCATCACAAGATTAATTACATGAGGATTTCTATTTGATTACAAAATCAATCCATGTGATTTATTTGGATCTCTATTAAAAAATGCAAGATTAAAGTCTAAAGACTTGCATTATTATTTATTCATCATTCAACAATTTATTCAAGTATTATTCAATGCTTTCCCAATTCAAATGGAAGACCTTGAAATTTTATCAAGACATATCAAGATTCATTTTCATATGAAGATTCAAAGTTTTTTATAATTACAAGGGAATTGAGAATATATTGAAGAATACATGTTCATTCATGTTACAACTTATTTGGATTTATTGTTACAAAGTTACAAAATAAAATACAAATTTTGTACATGAAATCAAGCTATTATTCGTGCTACAAAACTGTCTCAATGCTGCCCATTTTCCAGCACTGTTTTAATCCAATAACAGCCCAATTTTTTAGTGTAATGCTGTCCATTTTCTCCAACCTTGTTTCAACAAATACCATGCCAAGCTTCTGTCCTAATCTGCCCTGCAAAACAGTCTAGAATGCAGCCCATAAGACAAAAATTTGCACCTTTTGCTGCTACAAAAAACAGTTTACAAACCTCCAAATATTGCACTAAAATGTATACTTCAAAAAGCTATCTCATAAAACATCAAAACAGGGCCTAAAATAGTTCAAACTTCTATTGTTTTCCCCCCTAAAACCCCATACATTTCACTATAAATAGAGGCTTTCATCAACAAAAAAAGAGAGACAACAAGAGAAACACAAAAATTCAGCAAGAGTGAAAAAACAGAAAGAGCGCTTTTTGTTCAGAAATTCAGCAAGAGAAGAAAACAGAAAGAGAGCTTTTTATTCAAAAATTACAGCAAGAGAAGAGCAGAAAAAACATATAGAAGATTAAAGTTGGGAGAACTTACTGTTTTTTTCTGAAGCTCCATCGGAGAGACTCTGATAGGTATTCTTCTTCCCATTATTTTTTGCAAGCTCTCTCCACATATACATCCATGCCTGCCAAATTCATTTGCATAACTAATCATTTTTCATGCTTCGATCTTTTATATACGCATAATCTGTTAAAACCAACAAATCAGAATATTAATCCTTAAGATTAATTTGCCACCTGTTAGAATAACATAACTTATTAAAATTAATTAACATTACCCAATCAAGATTTTGATTTGTAATATACTTGTTGAAAGCCGACACAAATTCTCCTAACACTGCATTGAAAAGAGTATACGTTAGAGAACACATGTGGATAATCTTAGGATTTAATTATGTACTAACTAGTTTTAACATTAGCTTCAATTGAATCAAGGAGAAGAAAACACCTTATCACAAGCTTAGTTTCATGTTTCCTTTAGCTTCCATCTAACTGCAAACGAGGCTACCTTTTGAAACCGTGAATCAACCAGATCCGTTGCCTTGAGCAACTTTCAACCTCTACCTTTTTAAACTGTAACCCTGCAAAAGTTGTCCGTAATCTCTCCCTACAACATAATCAGAAAACCTGTTGAGTTAATTCAGAATGAAACCAAAATACAAGAATGTCCTAATTCATTAATCGCCGGCTCTTTTGAATAAAACACAGCGGTAACAAAAAACAGAGGTAAAAGAAGAGCTTCTCCGATCTACGACGTTGACGATTGTAGGAAATCATCCTCTTTATCAAACCTGAAAGGCAATAAAAATCATTACATTTCAGTCTAGTGTCGGTCAAATAAAAGACGTAACTAGTAGCACTAGGGAACTTGTAAGCCCTTATTATCTATGATACGCCTATCATTACCTAACAAAACCACAACATTCAAATTTAGAATTGTACTTACCTTTTCCAAAAAACCAAACAGAACCAAAATCAAAACCAGCCATCTTCCGCGAATGAATCACCTCCTTTCGCCAAAGTCGTTACACCGTTCTGTATGCCGCAATGTTAAACACAATTCACTACTAGCTTTTTTTATCACCGCCAAACACCTCGCATAACTCCCTCTTCCAACGCTGGGAGTAAATAGCAATTAGCAGCAACAGTAACAACATAAGTAGATCTGTCTTGAAGAACATAACTGAAACTGAGATGAGGAAGCAGTAATATTGAAGCATACCTGGATTGTTCCACAGTTTACAGTGTTCATTACGGATTTTGAGGCTGAGAGAGAAGAGGTTATCGTGAGAGAGGATTAATTGAGAACTTGAGAGAAAGGGGTTTTGTTTTGTTAACATGGCAGAAGAGAGATGAAGGTTTGTGGGAAGGAGGAGATTTCTTTTTTGTTTGTTTGTTTTAATCACTAACATAGAAATAAGTTTTTTTTATTAGATAATAATTATTAAATTTGTTTTTTTTATCTCCCCAAACCAACCAGCCGCCACGCTTCCTTGCTTCCTTAGGGTTTCGAAAACCCTTCTTCTTTTTCTCCAAGGGCCTGTTCGGGTTTGGGCCTAAATTTAGAGCCCAACCCGATTGTTCTACTTTTTTATTTTTGCTTAGAGATTACATAACAGAAAGATGTCAATGGTTTAGTGGTTGGGCCAAAGAGTTTTAATCTAAAGAAGCTGAGTTCGATCCTTGGTGGGGACGTTTTCTTTTTTGCTCTTTTGCCCTTCTTCTTTTTTAAATTCCTTTGAAACTTGATAATATATAGTTTTGGTTATAATTATTAGTTAATTACAAAACACATAAAAAACATGCTTTTATAAATTAATCTTTATTTAATTTTTTTATTAATATTTTATTATTTAATTATTCAAAAAATACATGTTTCATAATTTAATTCTTGTTATTTGTTTAATTGTCAAAAAATACATGCTATTGTAATTTAGTTTTTATGTAGTTTTGGTTATTTACTTAATCGTTTAAAATGCATGCTAGTATAATTTAATCTTCATTATTTAACTGTTCAATTTCCATTTTAATTAAATTTTCATCGATCGTTAATCTTTATATCTTTCGTCTGTCTCAAATCCAAGGGAAATGTTTTAACTTTGTTGACTTCACGTCATCAAATACGTCTCATCTAATCGTGCGAATACCTTCATTCATTTTTTGTTTGTTTATTATTTTGTTCAAACTTAAGATAATTTTCCCAAAGATTCAACTTTCAAACTCACACCTTTTAAGTCAAAACTTCTACATTAGGTCGTCGTATCTTCGAAATCTCATCTGCACCCATTTTTAGCCTAACAAATTATTTTAATCAAACAAACAATTTTAATAAACAGATATTTCAAAAGGTTCCTATAGGATACTATAGATGAATTGGGTGCTAATACTTTCCCATTGTATGACCAACCCCCGAACTCTAGATCTCTTTTCAAAAAAGCATTGTATTTTCATTACTTTTAAGTATTATTTTACATTGAATATTTTAGGGTTTTATTTCGCTCTCTTCCATTTTCCCTTGGAAATAATAAAGCATGGTGGCGACTCCTGCTTTTGTGAGACGAGTTAATTAATAGCTCGATCTCTGATTTACCCCGCTACATTTTTTATCGCAGCAGAAATGGCGACTCTGCTGGGGACAGATTGACCTCTTGCTAGTCCATCCCTAAGTGGGTTAACCCTAGTTTGTTTTATATGTTTTATCATTATTTGATTGTTTGATTATATGTTTATATTTTGGTTATTTGGGTGTTAACGATATTTACAAAGGACAAGTCCTATACCCGGACTAAGTTACACTTAAGAATAGGATGGGCGGTATAGTCATGTTAACTTTGAGGGAGTAATCCCGAAGAAGGAGGCATGAAATCCCCCACTCAGTGGAAGGCCCCTTTGAATGTAGTATTTGTTTACCGAGTAATCGGGAAGACATTATTACTTTCGACCTGGGAGCCAGAGAAGCTGAGAACCGTAGAACCCTAACCCATCTTTGCCTTTTAGATGTAGTGCAGAGACTATAACGGAGTAATCCAGAAGTAGTTGTCACGTGATGCTACGCTCGGATGAGTTTCTCTTGAGAATATTGCTAATTATTGAGTCATCAAGACATTGGTAATATCCGAAGGAGGAATGTAGACTCTGGGAACTCTTAGAACCTTGTCTTGCAGGTGTGATTAAACCTTTAGTACATACCCTGGGGGTGGGCTTTACCTTTGACTCCATGCTCGAAGCGTTGAACCTTTGAACCCCATGTTTGTGAACTTATGTGTAACTGTTGCATTATCATTCATCCATACATCCATAAGCATCTTTTTGTAAAAACATGTTTTTCAAGGAACTTAAGAATGATTTTTGCAGACATCTCAGGTACTATGGATTTTGGAAGGAGAAACACTCGAAGTTATAATTTTAAGGAGCCTGAGATTGAAGAGTTGAAGAGTTTGATTCCTAAGATTGAGAACCCTATGGAGTTTCAAAAGAAATACGGATCCATTATACCTCTCATGAAGCGCAAGATGAAGGAAGGCATCCTTAGTACGTTGGTCTAATTCTATGATCCATTGTATCGATGCTTCACCTTTCCTGATTACCAGTTAATGCCCACTTTAGAAGAGTACTACTATATACTTGGTTTGCCAATCACCGACTATGTTCCTTTCTCTGGTTTAGAAGAGGAACCCAAATCTCACGAGATAGCGACAATCACCCACTTGAGGAAGTCGGAGGTAGAAGATAACATGACTACTAAGGGGGAATCTGAGGCTTACCTGCACAGTTTTTGTTGAAGAAAGCTCGTCATTTCGCTGAGATAAAAGATATTATTGCCTTTGAAGATGTCTTTGCTTTACTCGCTTATGGCCTGTTTTTGTTCCCTAACATTGATAAGTTCGTGGATATCAACGCCATTAGAATCTTCTTGATTGGAAATCTGGTCCCTAAGATGCTAGGAGATACCTACTAATCCATCCATCTTCGAAACTCCTATCAAGGAGGGATGATTATCTATTGTGCACTGTTGTTATACCAGTGGTATGTTTCTCATCTACCTAGGTCTGATGTTTTCTGGGATCTCGAGAAGGAGCCACGATGGGCGCCAAAAATTATGGCTCTCACTCATTCCGACATAGATTGGTATAATCGAGCTTACTACGACGTGAAGATCATCGATAGTTGTGGTGTTTTTCCCAACGTGCCTCTTCTTGGTACAAAGGGAGGAATTAACTATAATCATGTTCTCGCGCGCCGCCGGTTTGGATATCCGATGAGGGACAAGCCGAATAACATTCATGTGAGTGGTTTCTTTTTACAAGAAGGAAAACATCACCAAGCAACTAAGGAGGAGATTGAAAGAACTTGGCGTCACATCCATAGAAAGGGGAGAGACATGTTAGGGTATAGAGGTGATGTTTCTTTGGAGCCTTACCTTCAATGGGTTCGTGTTAGGGCTTGTTCTCTCAAGATGCCTTATAACCCCGAGAAACCTTTATTCCCTACTTTGCATTATCATCTATCGATATCCCTATCGAGAACATGAGAGAGTACCAAGAAAATCTGGCTAGGATGAAGTCTGAAAGAGATGCTTGGAAGGAAAAGTATAATATGTCTGAATACAAAAATAGGGTCCTGACTCAACAGCTGAAGGAGAAGGAGGATTTGCTATTTATTCAAGACGGTTGGTTTATTGATCATGATGAGAAGCTTCGTCAAAAGGATGCATTACTTAAGGAATATGCTAATGAAAGGAAGAGGAAGAAGGAAGATTTGGTAGGCATTGCTCTTGTTCCTAATCCACGAAAGGAAATCATCGATCGACTAGTAGCTGAGAAGAAAGAGATGGAGGACTTCTATGAAGAGAAAATTAGGAAGCTCCATTTACAATTGGCTTTTGGTCCTTCATCTGATGATTTTGAGTGACCTTTAGTTCTTAGTTTTTTTATTACTTATGTCATTTTGTAAAACTCTGTAAAAGGGCTTCATGCTCCAAAGTTGTAATTTACTGCTTTTATTAATGGGTTTTGTTGTACCAAAGTTGTATTTTATTGTTTTTGTTGTCCCAAAGTTGTAATTTACCGCTTTGATTAATGAAATGAGTTTTTGTTGTTCAAAATTCCTTTACCATTGATGTGTGCAAAGTTATCAAAGTTCCAAAGCTCCTTGAAAAAATATCAAATAAATGATCATTTGCATCGCATATCATGCATCATCCAACATTCAACTTCACATGTTTTCTAGAGTGTTATTCTTGTTTCTTTTTCCACTCCGATAGATTGTCAAGTTGTCTCACCAGTACGATACCCGAGCCAATCGTCAAAAGAAGATGGAGGATTTGGAGCAGGAAAATCACGAGCTTCGCGAAGAGGTTACTACTCTTCATGTTGGAATGGAAAAGTTGACCGCACTGGTGGAAAGCTTGATGGCTGCTCAGAATCAGCCATCGACTTCAGCCGCTGAAATTCAAACTTCAACTACTGTGGTTTCTGAGATCGTCACCACTCCAACATCTGTGACTCAAGTTAACTCTCCGCTCCAACATCAAATTCCAAAAGGTTTTCCGTGGGGTATGCCTTACAACTTCATGCCATAAGGGTACCAGCCTACCGTACAACCCATGATTCAACCTGTTGTGTCCTTCCTCAACCTGAGACAACTACTGTGAAACCTGTAATCTAGCCTATGGTATCTTTCCCTCAGCCTGTGATGACTACTACCACTCCTGTGGTTCATACTATTCCATACACAAATGAACCCATTTATCATGCTGAACCTGCTGAAAGTTTAGGCCTTTTTGATAGGATGGAGGAGTTCCAAGACCAGTTTCAAGAAATGCATAGGGAAATTAGAGCGCTTAAAGGGAAAAACTTGGTTGGGAAAAATGCTCATGACTTTTGTTTAGTTCCAAACGTGAAGATTCCAGCTAAGTTCAAAGTGCCTGACTTTGAAAGATACAAAGGTGACTCGTGTCCGCAAAGTCACTTGACCATGTATGTGAGAAAGATGTCCACTTATTTTGATGATCATAATTTATTAATTCACTACTTCCAAGACAGTTTGACTGGTGTCGCTCTGAAATGGTACATGGGTTTGGATAGCACCCGAATCCGTAACTTCAATGACCTTAGTGAAGCTTTTGTTCGTCAATACAAGTACAATGTTGACATGGCCCCGGACCAAGATCAACTCTGGGCTATGTCCCAGAAAGATAGAGAGTCCTTTAAAGAATATGCCCAGAGGTGGTGCGAGATTGCCGCTCAGGTTTATCCTCCCCTTGAAGAGAAAGAAATGACAAAGATTTTCCTGAAAACTTTAGGTTTTTTCTATTATGAAACAATGATTGTGAGTGCGCCTAGTGACTTCACTGAGATGGTGAATATGGGCATGTGGCTTGAAGAAGGAATTCGTGAGGGAC